GATCCATGGTGATGGATCACTAGAGTCCCAAGCGATCCGGTGGTCCGTGCGTTTTCTGCCTATCTTATCTTCTCTGACCGCCTTAGGAGGTGCCCCCGCGGTAACTGCGGTTGGTTTCGTGACACTACTAGGCCCTCCTATTAAATAGTTATAGGATAGTATCTTCTATAGTAAGAAGATATAGATAGTACTAGATCATCTTATTTAAGTTAGATAACTTTATATATATAAACTATATTTATTATATATTAGTATAGTACCTATAAATAACTATCTTTATTATTATTATTATAAAAACATATAGCTATTAGGTCCTTTAATAAGCTAGAAACCCTATTATTCTTATCTAGTCTATAGTATTTTATAATTATATATATAAGAGAAGGATAGATAAAGTAGGTTGCTCTAACTAGCTACTATAACTCTATAAAAGTTTAGAGAGAGGTAGAGGATATAGAAGTATTATCTATATCTAATAACTTCTTAATTAATAGTTTAAATATACTATCTAGCTAATATAATACCTCCTACTCTAATATATTATTAGTTATAAGTATTTTTATATAAGAGATTCTAAGCTCTAAAGCTATAGATAATATAAGGATTATATTCTATTTAATATTCTAGATATAGATTATATTAGAAATATCCTAATAAAGCTTTTAAATATATAGCTTTATAATAGATATTAGGCTTTTATAGATAGGTCTATACCTTAGTGATATATAGAGATTATTAAAGTCAGAAAGACTACTAGCCTCTAGGCTATAGTATTTAAGAATATTCTATATAAACTTATAACTAATTATAATATATATACCTTAAGAATATCTATTAGCTAGACTATAGTCTATAACACTATTAAAGTTTATAGTTCAGCTTATTATAAGATTAGATATTAGTCTATATATATAGTAAACTTAATAAATATTATAAAATAGTAGAGGTATATAACTATCCTCTACTAATATAGAAGTACTAGCTAGAGGATTATCTATAGGATTAGTATTATTTATAGGTATAGAAATAATACCTAGAGTACTACCTATAATATTATTAGCCTTTAGTAATATAAGAATATTAACTAGAGAGTCACCTATAGTATTATTAATCTTTAGTAATATAGGAATATTAGCTAGAGGGCTACCTATAATAAGACCAGCCTTATTATTAGCTATAAATAGATCTAGATCTATTATTATTTCTATACTATATATAGCTATATTAATAGCTTTATCTATAAAAAAGTCTATTACTATACCTATAGATTAAAGAAGACTATCTATATATTAGAATATTAGTAGTTATATCTTAAATCTAACCTTAAATCAATCTCTATATAGTAAAAAGCACTTCTAAATCATTATATAATACTATCATCCAATAGAGAATTTAACATACTTTTAAATAATAGTATTCCAGACTCTATAGAATCAAAATTACAGCTATAATACATACCTTTTTGCTTGGCAGATGTGGTGGTGGTAGGGGTGTGGGTTGTTTTTTTTAGGCCTAGGACGTGATTTCCGGTAGGAAAATAGTGGCGTTTTTCTGCCCTTCTAGACCGCCCTCTCTTTTGGCTACGTAAAAGTCCGCGTTGCGAGCAGTCCCTCTAGTTTAGGTAGTTGGATAACATCCCTTTCTAGAATTCCCAAGGGCCATCGTACTATATAAAACTAAGAGATTTGATGAATAGTCAAAGACTTCTGTTAAACAGTCTGTCAAGAATCTGATCATCACTTGATACCTACTTCGTACTCCGTATGGGAATGGAGCTCTTGTCTCTCTAGTGGTTCTGGGCTGTAAGCGAGAGCCTGGAGGAGGAGGAATGCGGGGAGAAGCTGGCTAAACACAAAGTGTGTACGTTGCCAAGAGCGCATGGCTGGGCCAACAGCAAAGAGACCGATAGGCGGCACGGAGGCCAATTCTGTCTGTTCCTGGTTTTATCAAATGGGTTCCGCCGGTCGGTACTTCACCCACGCCCGGCAGAGACACACTCGCTGCTCTGTGCCTGTAACACGCAGAGCAGCAAGCAGGTCAGGCGCACTCTGGCCGAGTCGCACTCTGGCCGAGTCTCTCGGAGCTGGCTGCCCCTACCCCCGAGTTTTGGGGACCCCGGCTGCTGAGATCGACCACTCGGGTCGCAGCTCGTGGTTGATCTGTGGGGGAGGCTCGATATTAATTTAGATGAGGAGATGAATCGCGCTGAACTGCCAGGAACCGTTCCTTTTGGTGGCTGTGGCCGCGGCCGGCGACAGCGTGATGAAACGCACCACCCACTGGGCCAGCGGGCTCGAGTACTAGCTGTTGCCTCTCTGATTTCCCGCCAGTCGGCCGTTCTAGATGTCCTTCCGGGTCTCTCCTGGTGTTGCCGTCTTCAGCCGCTCGTGTGCGATGCATATACCCCATGGTAAAGGGCGGGGAGACATCCAAGTCGTAGATGAGGCACACACCAGGGTGCTCGGTTCTGCGTTCCGCTGGACTGTGCTTGCCGTGGGAGTATAACTGAATGAGGACCTGCTGTTCTTCCAGAGAGAATGTCTCCTCCGACCTCGTGTTCTTGGTCTGGTGAGCGTCTACCGCAATATCTCGGCCGGATATAGGTTATCATCAAGACTTGGTTCTTCCACTTCCTCCTCTAGTACGTCTCTTGAACCTCGAGGCACCCTGCCCTGCCCTATCTCAAGGCATCATCTTCACCTCCTTGACTACGTTTCAACCCACCACGACGATGCTCAGCACCTCGGTCCTCTCGGCCCTGATCCCGGCCTTCCTGCTGGCCGCCGGCGCCGCGGGCCAGGCCCAGGGCACGGGCTCCACGACGCGGTACTGGGACTGCTGCAAGACGAGCTGCGCCTGGCCGGGCAAGGGCGCGCTGTCCAAGGGCCCCGTGCAGACGTGCGACAAGGGCGACAACCCGCTCAGCGACAACGGCGCCACCAAGTCCGGGTGCGACAACGGCGGCGGGGCGTACATGTGCTCGAGCCAGTCGCCCTGGGCCGTCGACGACTCGCTCGCCTACGGCTACGCGGCCGTGCGCATCTCGGGCCAGACCGAGATGCAGTGGTGCTGCGCCTGCTACGAGCTGACCTTTACGAGCGGGCCCGTCAGCGGCAAGAAGATGGTCGTCCAGGCGGTCAACACGGGAGGGGACCTGGGGCAGAACCACTTTGATCTCGCTATCCCCGGCGGCGGCGTCGGATTGTTTAATGCCTGCACGAACCAATGTAAGTCTGGCCCCCCAGCTCTGACGCCTTACATCTCCTCCCCCCACCCAGGTGGCTGACAAGAAGGGCCTGGAAAAGACGGAGCCCCCCCTAACGGATGGGGCAAGCAATACGGCGGCATCAGCAGCAAATCCGAGTGCGCCGGCTTCCCGGCCAAGCTCAAGGACGGGTGCAACTGGCGCTTTGACTGGTTCGGAGGCGCGGACAACCCTTCGGTCACCTTCAAGCAGGTCGCCTGCCCGTCCGAGATCACGTCCAAGTCCGGCTGCAAGCGCTCGGACGAGCGCTAGGGTATCGAGACCCTGGCGGCGCAGGAGACCGCTCCAGCTTGCTTTGATGAGCGCACGGGGGCTTGGCCATTGCAACTGTACATATCAGCAAGAGAGAACCTAACGAGACTAAAAACAAGAGGGAAAATGCCCTTATCTGATATATTAAGTGTGTGTGATTCATGCGAATACAGCGGCTTTGGCCAGCTCATGATGATTGGACCAGACTCAAGGACCCATTGCTGGGAGCTTGTCTATTGTGCCCAGGCAGTGGGATAACGCTTTCGAAGTTAGGGCCCCGCAACTCCTTACTTGAGATCAGGCAGACGTGTAGACGAGTTCCAGAGATTCAATGATGTATCGATAAACGGAGGTTTCCTGGCGTGGCACTGGCGCAAGGCACAAGCTTTGCCAAGTCGGCCGGGGTCCAGATTTGTTGTCTTGAACCATCATTGATCAGGGTTCAAGCTTCAGGCTTCAGGCTTCAGGCTTCAGGCTTCAGGGTATCAACCTCGACCTTAAACTGCCTTCTTGTAGATCAACTTCTTAAAGACAGGTGAAGAGATCCAGGTCAACTTTTGTTGTTCGCATGGTCGTTGTCACAGTATGGCACGCGGATCACGTGGTGGATTGAGAGAAGGGATCAAGAGTGTTTAGATCTGGCATTGCCTAGTTATTCGAGTAACGGTCTTTTGCATTGCTTGGCAGCCGGGGAAGAAAAGCTTGCGAGCCCTGTCTCCGCCATCATCATCATCATCATCGAACCGATCGAGAAAGGCGCATAGCAGACCAGATTACAGTACTTTTGCCATGTCGCGTCTTGTCAATGGGGTGTTCATGGCCCAGGGGCTGATCTTATTGGGCAACGGGCTGTACATGCTAGCCTGTCCGGATGCCGCTGCGCAGGGCCCGCAGCTGGCCGGCACCCCCAGACAAGTCATGACGATACTCAGGTGAGTGTTCTGGCCTCTGGAACTGGACAATGATGGGGCTCGTGTACTGACGCTCGTGGGATCGGACAGCACGAGCACGGTCTCTCTAGCGGCCTACTACATCTACGCCGCGTGGGCTGGAAACCGCGGCATGATGAAACTCAGCATCGTTGGCCGGGCTGCTGCGACAGCAATATTTTGGAGGGCCGGCGGTGCGCTCCGGGGCGTGTCGGCATTCGAGGCGGTCATGGGAGCCATCACGGGCCTGGCCTTGTGGGCAAAACCAGAACAAGGCAGCCTCTCGCGTTCCGTTTGAATAAGATTTGCGGCTTATGCGTGTAACAGTGCCATGGCTGCGTTCCAATTTTGCCGGCCTTGCATCTTTGCCGTTCATGATTATCTCGGTTTCCATCACCAGGTGGCTGGTCATTGGGAGGGGGGATTGCAATAGATAATATAATTCTCATGATGGATACAAACCTCCCGGTACTACTGCCCCGAGATGTGTATAAAGTTTCGTGCACGCGAGACGATGTCCCCGATTTCGAACGACTTGTCGCAGCTGCTCCCGAATACCAGGATAGGCCGGGGAATGACATGATGCAGGATACCGAAGTACCGACGGGGGGTCCTCACGGTACGAGACCGCTACATGGATCCTGCCTATGATAAGAGATGACGAATGGGTAAACAGTCTTGAGCAGCGAATGCGGAGCAGGACGCGCGGTTTCTGGAGCCCACATCACCCAGGCTAGCAAAGTACGGAGTACAGATGAGGGATGGATTCATACCTTGGGATCCCGAGACTCCCAGTACAAAGGACGGAGAGTAGGGGTTTTAGCGCTAGTGACGAGGCACAAGGGCGGCGGCAGGGGGGCCTACCTACCTACCTACTGTACAAATGTACTGGAGGAGAAGGAGAGGGCCTGGCGGGTAGGTACCTACAGGGAGGGAGGGTCTTCCAGCAATACCGACTCCCGTCACTCCTAGTCCAGTCCCAGTCCTGCCCTGAGCTGCTCTCGCTCGTATTTCATCTCCGGTCTTGGCACCTGAAATGGCCCTTTCCCCTTCCATCTTCAAATCCATCATCTGGAGCATCGCACACACGACACTTTTCTTGGCCACACGTCGCACAAGCCGGTTTCCCTCTTCCTTTTTTTTTTGTCTCTGCCAATCTCTCACCCGCCCATCGCCATCCATCACGAGGCGTCCGCTTCCCATCACGCCACCCGTGCTCTTGGTGCGTCCATCAAAGGGTGACTCAATCTCGCACCTAGAGACAGACATCCCGTACTGCGAACCAGAAGAGAGAGAGAGAGTTGAGGACTCCTGCTCCTGCTGGCGGACAGCGTCAGCCAGAGTCAGGATGGGCTGGACGAAGCATGTGTAAGTAAAGTACTGTATCTGACTGCTACCTCTGCCCTCAGCCTGCGCCCGTGCCGGATCCCCCCTACCAAGCTTTCTTGCCAAGTCGGCCGGGTGGTTCATGTGGGGGACGAGGAATCGCCAAGATTTTGCCAAGCCCAGCCCAACCTTGGGGTCGTTATCAATACTTGTACCTGCCTCTTCTGCTCTGCATGGACCGCGCTGACCGATCAATTATCATCAGCACTCAATGAGCTTCAAAATGTCGTGTAAGTCAAGAGTCTCTCTGTCGAATCATGCTGCCGTTCCATCAAATCCCTCACCCATTTTGTTCTTTTTGTGGCGATGCCTCTGCCTGAAACCCCAAACCCCTTCACCCTTCATTTGTGCAACACCAATCACCACCAGCCCGTGGCCGTGGGCATCCTCTCTCCCTCGCCTAACCACACCCGCCATTCCTGTCATGCTAGCAAAGGAACAAGCATTCAAGAAAGAGTCTCGCGCTGACAACCCATGATGCAGTCTGTTGTTCAGCAATCCCCAGTGGGATGGAACCAAACACAAATTGAGCGAAATCCTGAGGAATATCACCGCCCTGTCGGTAAGCTTTCTTCTCTTGTGCCCAATACCCCAACGCCCAAGACTTATGCATCGCCCGTCATGATACAGTCCCAGATCGCCTACAGCGACCATATCACGCAAAACATCGGCACCATCTCGCCAAACTACATTCCCTCCAACGGCAACCTCATCCAGGGTCTACTCTACGTCCCAGATCTGGATGCGGGGGATGACTGCATCGGCAAGTCCAACAGCATCATCCCGACCTCGGTAGTGAGGCAGGCAAACCTGCCCCCAACGGCCTACAATCTCATCGCCATCGCGCCTTGGATTGATTCGGACTGTTCTAAATCCTTTCTCCGGGCGGCTCGCCAGGACCCCCTGCGAGCCCTCATCTTCTACCTCCCTACCAATGACACCTCCCCGCCCCCTCCAGCTGATGCTGGCGAGTGGCTCATTGACGACGCGATGGACTGGAAGTCTCAAAACCACTTCCCCGTCTTTGCCGTACCTGGGGCTATCGGCAGTCAGATGATGTACCAGTTGAGTCTTTACTCTGGCGATCTGTCAACCGTCCCCTATGGCCAAAACATCAGCGATCTCTACAACCCAAACGTTGGGGACTACGTCCGCATATGGACCGAACTCTATACGTCGCCGCCATCCACTCTCCCCGCGATATGGGCATTTGTTCTCATCATCGTCGGCGTCATTATCTTCGTGATCGCGTCCACGTCATGCCTCATGCATCTCACCTGGCGCCAGCGACGAGCCTCGTTGCGCCGCAGAGTCATCGATGGCGAGGTGAACCTGGAAGCCATGGGTATCAAGCGCCTGTCGGTGCCGCTAGAGCACATACAGTCGTTTCCTTTATATACTTACCACTACGAGCCTGCCGAGATAAGCCCGCAGATGTCGCCGGCTCTCCCACAGGAGCCGGAGAAGGCCGTCGTCGCAGACGCAGGCAATATTCAAGCCAGAGACATGTCTGACTTGGCATCGAGCGGACCTGCCCACAGCGTGGCAGGAGAGAAGCCCGCGTCCAGAGCAGACGCACCCTCATTGATTGTCACCGACCTCAACTACCAGCCGGCCTGTCTTATCTGCTTTGCCAGTTTTCAGAATCGCGAGACGATCATTCGCGAACTTCCCTGTGGCCACATCTTCCACCCCGTCTGCATCGACGGCCTTCTGTCCGAAGTGAGCTCGTTGTGCCCCGTCTGCAAGGCGTCCATGCTGCCTCCGGGTTCCTGCCCGCCCGTGACCAACAGCATGGTCAGGAGGGAGCTGACCGTGCGGAGGCTGCGCGAGCGGCTCTCGCACGATTCCGACGACGAGGATGACGACGTCGTCGACGGCGCCCCGGCCGGCAGGATACGTAGCTGGGGCACCGCCTTTAGGAAGCGGCTGCACAGCATCGGCCACCGGTCGCACTCGCGCCGCTCCGTCGCCAGCAACGCAGAGTACGGCAACGTGGCCATTGAGCTGCCCAGGCTCTCGGCAAAGGCCGACGAGCGCCGGCCGAGCAACCAATCCACCGGCGTTGCCGGCCGGCGGCTCATCAGGCTGTCGACGCTGAGCTCGGACGCCGACACGGTGGGCGGCACGGGTCCTTCGAGGTGTAAGTCTGACCACAGTCGCTCTTTTTTCTAGAGTAAAGACTAATACAAGACAGGGAAGCGGATGAGGAGAAGAATCTTCCCGGGGTTCAGCTGACGAGAACTTTCCAACATGGCGCACTCTTAATGACGACGACGGGTATGGCAGCATTCTAGATGGAATATTGGCCCAGTGAGATCTTTTGAGCGTTTTTGGGCAGTGATGATGACATTAGCATACCGTACCCTACCATACCCAGCAACTTTTGCATCTTGATTTGGACGTATTGTATAGATGAGACGGCGTTGAAAAGGGGCTTATCTAGCTTGATGATAGGAGTTAATGCAATATTCGAGATATCAAGTTCGCGAAACAGGATTTCATCCATGGTGGTTTTGTTTGTTTTGAAGACTTGGAGAAAATATTTTCTCCAAGTACGGCCGGTCCTCGACGTTCCTTGTCTGGCGATATCGCTGTGTTTCGATCATGCGCGACGATTGAAAGCAGCCATGGTCCCCTTCTTCCGCCCCAGCGAGCATTGCCATTGGTACCTGGACAGCCTTCGTGGTATCCTTTTGCGATTGTCTTGCCTTTCTGAGCCGGATCTGTGCCCGAGTAATCTTACACTATGGATCACACGTCGGCAAGACACGAGGATAGAACACGGTTTTGCAGACACCCTTGGAAGCAAGATCAACTTAATGCTCCTAAGTCCTGCTCTTACTAAAGCCCATGCCAGTGACCGAAACCCCATCAAAAGAACGCATAGTCATTGCCACCACCCTATCCGAACGCCGAAAACGTAGCAAACGTGCCTTTCCCAGTTATTGTATAAAACGAAACAAAACAAAATAAAACAAAGGACCACCCTTTCCGCACCATTGCCATGCCATGCCATGCTATGCCATCTCAGCCATGCTCATGCACACTACCCCCCCCCTCTCTCTCTCCCTTCTCACTCCACCTCCTCCACCTCCTCGTCCCAGGCCTCCTTCTCCTTCTTGACCAGCCCGGCCATCTCCGCCGGCTTGAAGATGCTGCTGTCCGGGTCCGACGCCCGCGGGACCTTACCCGGCGCGCCGTCCTCGTCAAACACGGTGCCAATGTTCTCGATCCACCGCCTCCGCCGCTCCATGAGCGTCTTGGTCAGGTCGCCGATGCCGGGGCGCGCCATACCCGCTCCCGCACCGCCCGCCCCGGCCGCACCGCCCGCCGCGGCAGCGCCGGGCCGCTTGCCCTTCTTGGACTTGCCCATGGTGCGCGTGCGCTTGAGGTACGCGGCCTGGACCTGCGTGTCGAGGTCCTCGAGGATCGTCTGGTACTCCTGGTGCGCCATGCGCTCCTTGACCAGCTCCGCGAGCCGGGCCTTGCGCGCGCCGTTGAGCAGCACCTGCTCGCGCAGCCGGGCCTGCAGCAGGCGCAGCCGCGCGGCGACCTCGTCGTCGTAGTGCCCGTCGTAGTCGGCCGTGGGCTCGCCCGACGATGACGTGTTGTTGGCATTGCCGGCGCCGTTGGCCGCGCCCGACTCGGTTCCGCCATTGGCGGTGGCGCCGGGGAGGAACCCGATGTGGCGCAGCTCCTGCTTGATGCGCTCGTCGACCTGGCTGTAGTCGAGCTTGGGGTGAGAGGCCTTCTTCCAGGCGTCCGTGGCTGATTCGGCCATCAGGGTCGCCGGAGGCATCGTCTTTTCGTCGGTACCATTCGCCGCAGCGCCGTTGGTGGGGGTGTCGGTGAAGGGGTCGGCGCCGTTCATGCTGATGTCGCCGTTGAAGGAGTCATTGTGCACACCGTTAGTGGTAGGGCGGTCTTCCGATGGCGTGGCGCGAGATTCGGGTCGCATGGCCTGGAGCAAACGTGAAAGGAGGGGCCCGACTGACAGTTTGTCCGTCTCGGCGAGCTCGTCGTCCATGTTCTCGATGGTGCCGCGGGGCTGGTTGGGAGCGAGCTTATCGCCAGTCGGAGAGGTATCTATCGCCATCCCGCCGTCTTCTTCAGCCCATCTATCCAGGTAATGTTTGTCACCGCGCCTCGGCATGACAAAAGGTTGAACACGATCGCCCCTCTCTCGAAGGAAGCCGAGATCCTCCTCCGTGAAAGGTCTGAAGTACGGCTCGATATAGGTTGAAAAGGTGCTGAAGCTGATCTGGTTTGACGGTTTCGCACTGCTGAAGTCTTTGTCTGGCGGGTCTCCCGCGATCAAGTCGGCCAGGTCGGATCTCGGATAGACGGCCACCGAATAGATGGCCTTGATCTCGTCTTCCGTCATGCCGGGCTCGACTGGTTTTATGTCGTAAACGGTTGGGTCGGGAAATGTTGAGGGGTCTTCTCCGAATGTCTGATTTTGGGGCACGGGTCGCGGGGGTGGGCGGCCATCGTCCGAAGATGAATCGGAGTCGGACTCGTCTTGGCCTTTGTCTTTGCGGTCGACATCCATCGCGTTGGGGGATCCAGCTGGTGAAAGTGATGAGCTTGCAGATTCATGTTCGCGTGCGGATCTCCTCCATTTACCACTACTCGATTTTCCGCTTGAGTCCCGTGCGGGTGATGAACGGTCTGGTAGACTTTCGCGTCAGTTTCTGACTGCCCCAAGGTGGCGAGTGTCTTGGGGTATTTCCAAAAAGCAGCAACCACGGTTTCTTGTATTACGACACACGTGCAAAAGCAATAATCTCGAAATAAAAGGCTCAAATGCTCAAACGCTCGCAACAAGAGCAGCGGGGACTCACCTGTTTTCCCACTCGGCGCCGACGGGTGGTCGGGCGCTTTCCTCTTCTTTTTGTTGGCTCTTCGTTCTCTCTCTTCGTCATCAGCTTCTCGGCGTAGTCTCTCCTCTTCGCGGCCTCTTTCCGCAGCCATCTCATCCATGCGCGTCTTTCGATTCTGCGCAAGGAGCCTCATCCCTCTGTCATAGTAAGTACCCCGCTGCTCAACGGTCTCGAGAAGCCGTTGCAACCTCGTAAGCGTCCCATCTAGGCTTCTGGAGTCGGGAATTGCGCTTGCGGCAGCAGAGTCTATGATGTCTTCGTATGTGATATTACGAAACAGCTCAAACTTGAGGTCGAGATACTCGGTCTCGACGGTTTCGATGGGGGGCAGACTGGCCGTGGGCGGGATGGACGATGGCGTGGTGTTGCGCGATCGTTGGCGCGCGATGGAACCGGCATTCTTCTTGCCGGTCCCCTTCTGCCCGCTGGCCAGGGGCATGCTGGGCAGCTTGGTCAGGCCTCCTTTCCAATGCGTTCAAGAAAAGAAAGACCCAAAGATCGCGTTGGCGACGTCGTCGATGGTGAGAGCCCAGGCTGGGGTTGGAGGGTGAGGTCACTGGCTGTGAACGCGCGCCGGGGCAGTCATGAGCCACGGGTGGGACCCTGTCGTCTCGAAGGTCCAAGTACCTCCCGCTTATCCTCGAGGGCCAAGATACTTGTCGCAGCACTTGCCCTTTGTGCTTGCCCATGTGTGTGTGGATCACTCCTGCACTGTGCGATCAAATTGCAGCATGTCTGGTGCTTTGTTACGGCCTTTCATTCATCCGGTCTTGCTGACTGGACTGGACGCCACACCAGCGCCACGATCAATCTGTCTGTGGAGTACGGAGTACCTACTCACACAGCCAATCCCCCCTGGCTGCCAGAATTCCCCAACAGGCCAAACAACATCGGAGCACCGCCAAAGATCCTGAACTGTTTAGACACAAGGGCTTAACTGATACTTGATATCCAAGAAGCTCTGTCTAGATAGAGGCAACAAGGAGGTTATTGTTGTTGTTGGTTGGAGCAGTTGTTATCATTCAAGGCGGTTCCTGGATAGCAACTTGGGACCATTCTTGTCAACATTTCGCCATGAACTCTGGGGCCCAGAAAGATTTCTATCGACAACATTGATGAAGAATTATCCACTTCTAGAATTCCACCCATTACCTACCTAGGTACTCATTGATTCAACGAAAGATTTCTTCACCGCCTGGACTTTGCCATGGTGTGCAGAGTTAGCCGAGACCCGGAGCAGAGCAGGATGCTTGTATGAGAGATTTGTCTGTGCTATGAGAGGCGACACATCTTCAGATCGAATTCAGATAAAATGGCTCTCGATATCTGGTCAACCTTAAGATAGCCTCAAGCACGGCCCGTGGGGAAGGAGAACAGCCCCATTGGTCCACTGCGACGACATGGCTAGCGGGTCGCCAAAATAAGTGGCGCCCAGGGGTTGATCATCGCCGTGGCACATCGTGCGAAGCTCACCTGCCTTCGACCTCAGTTCTTCCGGGCCTCGACAGCCTCTCGGCAACGCGTCTGCCCACCACGTTCTGCACACACTGGCGAAGGTAGCTGATCCTCCCGGCCCTCGATGCAAGTGTGTGGTGTGTCTTGTCTGCGTGCGTGTCTCACAAAAAGCCCCTCATTCCACAGCAATCTCGTGGCTTGCCTCATCCACAAGACTTATTGCCGTTTGGAGATGCTGCCTGTAGGTAATTGAGGACACGACGTGTGACTGACTTTCCGGTTCGTGCTTATGCTCAACATGATGGGATCTTTGACATGCCAGCTACACTGCTGCTGACCTCATATCTGCAAGCCGCATCGGCTGTCTACTGAAGATGTGCCTTGCTTCATATTCGTCCCAATCCGGCGCGCGCAAACGGCGGCCGGCCGTTACATCGCGGTCACAGGCCGGGTGGACTCGTGTTAATCAACCTGTTCCGCAGTCCACTTCGACGTCTAGGGCTGTCCGCCTCTCCCCACGAATGCCCCAACTGCTCGTGCATGTGGGCCGAACCATTGGCCAGCGCATAACAAGCTGTCTGGCGTCTAGCACCTCTCAACAAGAGCCGGTGTCGGTGGGGTCGAGGCTTCGATGGTGGAGCGGCATCATCTCAGGGTCCTTGTGCTTGCTTGTTTCCCCTCCAAGCACGACACTGCCCCTCCAAGGACAAGAGGTTACGCATCGCAACGAGCCAATGAAGCGCGAGGTTTTGCGTCCTCCTTCATCCCTCACGCGCCTCACCAGAGAGCCGGATACGCAGATGCGCTGCTGATCGAGTGACCGCCCAAGTGGGCTCAAGGGGCAACCGGCGGCGCAGATCTGGCAAGATGGAGGGGCGTAGGTATATGTGCTTCACGTCGCCCGAGCACTCTCCTTTCTCTTTTTCTCTCTCCTGGACCCATTCGACCTCCTGGCCTTTCCATATTAGCCACGTACCCCTCATCTTCGTTCAACACGCTGCTCTCGTGCGCATAGCAATGCGAGAGTACCATGGATTCTCTTGGTGGTAACATACTGCCTCTGGGCCTGAACAACAAACTCCTCTTCGCCGGACTGGCCACAGCACTATGCGCTGTCATCGGCCTCTCCAGGCTTTCCAAGCTTGCAAAGAAGACTGACGGGTCTCCCAACCTGGTCAAGTCGCTTCTGCTCTTCTGCTACTCCTGCTTCATCAAGCCGCACCAAGGCGACACTAAAGGGAACCAGCAAGATGCTCTCGAGAGCTTCTATGGCTCCCAGGCCGATGTGTACGATGTCACCAGGAAGACGCTCCTCAAGGGTCGCGAGGACATGCTGGCGCTCGTTGCTGCCCAGCTCGCGGACAAGGATGCTGTGAAGAAGGGCAGGCCCCATCGACGCGTCTGGGTCGACGTACGTTTTTCCCCAAGACAACGCTATTATCCCTTCCCGGCGCTGAAACTCATATCTCTAGGTTGGTGGCGGCACCGGTTGGAACATTGAGGCAATGAAAGAATTTGTCGACGTTCCCAACTTCTTCAGCGCTGTCTACCTGGTCGACTTCTCCCCATCCCTCTGTGAGGTTGCGCGAAAGCGCTTCGCTCGTCTGGGCTGGGACAATGTCACGGTCGTCTGCGAAGACGCAAGGAAGTTCCGGCTCGAGGATTACGAAACGGATCCTCAGACGCCCCGTACTCCTACTGCGCTCCAGTCTCTCGGCTATTTCGCTGAGGCGCGTCCTCAATATGGTGGCGCTGATCTCATCACTATGTCCTATAGCTTGTCTATGATTGTGAGCCGCCTTGTTCAAGGCCATGTGTGCAACATTCAGCTAATCACTTCACCAGCCCGACTTCTATTCGGCCGTTGACTCGCTGACCGCGCTCCTGGCCCCTCACGGTATCATCGGAGTGATCGATTTTTACGTCCAGTCCAAGGCCGACTTCAAGTTTCGAAATCACACCGGAGGCTTGGTCGGTCGTCACGTTGGCTTTCTGAGCCGCGTGTTCTGGCGCGGATGGTTTGAACTTGACAGGGTCAACTTGGAGGCTGCTCGGAGGGACTTCCTTGAGTATCGCTTCGGTACCATCCTTGGAATCAACTCCCGCAACTACACTCTGGGGCGGATTCCCTACTACATCTGGCTCGGCTGCCACAAGAAGCCATTCTCGCCATCCAGTCTTCCCCACGAGGTTGTTGAGCGCATCGATGCGATCGCCACCGAGTCGCCCTACCTCGGTCCCACCGCCAGTCCTGCCACCACTCTGTCCCGCGCCGTCCAGCGAACGGCTCCGGAGATCCGCTCCAAGGCCTTCCAGACTGCGGTGGCGAACCTCTCATCCAATCTGCCTCTCCCGGCATTTTTCTACCAGAACCACCACTGGCGCATCTACTATGACGATCAACTCCAGAAGCACACGCAATTCAAGGACGAGTACATCTACGCGTTCACCTGGGAGGATACTCGTGTTGACGAGCGGCTTCTGAAGCTGAGCTCCAACGATGTCGTTCTGGCCATCACTAGCGCCGGAGACAACATCCTCTCCTACGCCATGCAGAGCCCTGCGAGGATTCACGCTGTCGACCTGAACCCCACTCAGAACCACCTCCTTGAGCTCAAGGTCGCCGCATACACCGCTCTTGACTACGAGGACTTTTGGAAGATCTTTGGAGACGGCAAGCACCCCGACTTCCTATTCCTTCTCATCAACAAGCTCTCTCCCCATCTCTCCAGCCGCGCGTTCCAGTACTGGCTCAGCAATGTCCACATCTTCACCAAGACGAGCGGCGGTGGTCTCTACGATACCGGCGGCTCCAAGCACGCCATTCGTGTCTTTGCGTGGATTGCCCGCATCTTTGGCTGCCGCCAGGCCGTGAACGAGATCCTGACGGCCAAGACTCTCAACGAGCAGCGTGAAATCTGGCGCACCAAGATCCGCCCCGCCCTCCTGTCCCGCATCGTCTCGGGCTTCGTCGTCAGCCAGGAGAGCTTCCTCTGGGCCGCCCTCGGCGTGCCCAAGCACCAGCTCGCCATGATCGAGGCCGACCACGCCAAGTCGGAGGCGGTCTGCGGGCCCAACCCGACGGCCAAGAACACGCGCTCCCACGCCATCTGGCACTACATGGTCAACACGCTGGACCCCGTGGTCGAGGAGACGCACGTCGCCGCCGACAACCCTTACTACTACGTCTGCCTCGCCGGCAAGTTCTCCCGCCAGTGCCACCCGGACTACCTGTCCCCCCGGGCTCACGCCAAGCTCTCGCGCCCCGGCGCGCTGGACGGCCTGCGCATCCACACCGACGAGATCGACGAGGTCATCGCGCGCCTGCAGCCCGGGTCGCTCACGGCCGCCGTCGTCATGGACAGCATGGACTGGTTCGACCCGGGCAGCCGCATGGCCGCGCAGCAGATCGGCAAGCTCAACCGCGCGCTGCGCATGGGCGGCCGCGTGCTCCTGCGCTCCAGCGCCCGCGTGCCCTGGTACATCAAGGAGTTCGAGTCGCTCGGCTTCTCCGCCCGGCAGGCCGGCGACCGCGAGCCGGGCCGGTGCATCGACCGGGTCAACATGTACGCGAGCTGCTGGCTGTGCACCAAGGTGGGCAACCTGCCGCCGCCGACGCCCGCCATGGACGGCGGCGAGGGCGTCGATATCGAGCGCCTGGAGATCTGAGGCGCGCTGGCGCTGCAAGTGCGATTGCTATATCGGGAATTACAGACTGCTTGTTGGAACGCGAGGAGATGGGAATATTAACAAACACCAATTTGACGAGAAGAATGATCTTTCAGATGCTAATCTTTCAATGTTTAAAAGCCCGCAAGCCATCAAGAAAATACAATATGATTTAGTCGTCCAACAGTGGTCGCCCTTTCTTTCTCTCGGCCCTGTGACAGCAGAATGCTTTACCCGAGGTCGTTCCAAGGGACCAGCTGGAATGAACGGAGGCCTAAACCAGAGGACGGGACGCCAAGACTACAGAAGGTATCATGATGAGAGACATCCATGTTAGGGCGACTGAAGTATGCCTTGACATCCATCATTTGAGACACCCACCACTCAACCTCCTCGCCCTCGATCGTTCTTCCGGTCGTCGAGCGATCGGCCGGTCTTCCCCGATCGAGCCAGCCACGAGGGGAACGGGACGGAGGACTCAGAAATTCGGCTCGTGGCTATCAGCCCCACGAGGCACTCCGGAGAAAGGGACCCGCGGACCTCTTCCCAGGTGCGGAAGGAGTCCTCCCTGGCCATGTCGGAGAACGCCAGGATGAGCAGACCTCCACTCCTGTCCACCTCTTGATAAACAAGGGACCCTGATTAAGAAAGGCTTTGGCCCCCAACGACCCAGCATCCCCTCCCAAGAGCCACTAGTCACGTACGTTGGTACGGTAAGTGCTTCGAGACGAAATAAACGTGACAATGGAGAAACAAGGATCCGTATCCCTCCCCTGCTCCTCTGCGCTCCTTCGGGGTCGGTCCCATCAACGCACTCCGTAGGGCTGCGCCATGGGCACCATGTGGTTGTGCCTGGCCTCTGTGACGACAGCGGGAGGGCTCCGTGGCCCCCAAACAGTCTGCCCTGCCCTGCACTATGGAGCAATAGACATCATGAAGATATATCTGCAGATCGTTTTTTTATCTTTGCAGGGGTAGTCACCTAACCTCCTAACTAACTGCCTAGTAAGATGACGGTGGGCATCCGTGCATTTCGTTCCCCAGCACTTACGGACGTAAGAACATCCCCTGGGTCCGTTCCTGTGGGAGACAGAAACCAGGAATGAAAATAAAATGATGCAAATTGGCCAATGACCGGGCTCGCCCTGGGGGCCTCGTACAGTTCTTCTTTGCTTGGGTCCTTGGCGCGAGGATTTGGTTCCGTTCAGCTTGCATTCGAGGATGGTGCTTACACCGTTTTGGGCGACTCCACCCCTCATGATACTTGCTTGGCCTAACCAGCATATGCTGACGTGAGAAAGGGAAAAAAAAAAAGGGAAGCGCTTAAGTCATGTAAGTACCTGTGGTGTCGGATCAAGACAGCAATGCGTCGGAAAGGCCGTCGGAACGCCGTATGATGGATACTTTTTGATAATACTAGAGGAAGAAGCGAGAGCAGTGTAGTGGCAGTGGCGGTGTGGTTAAGATTTTAATTCTGTGGCCTACGGATTTACAAACACCCGGGAGCCTGTGGTAACTCGGTTGATGATGGTTCCGGTGGTGATGATGTTGGAGAGGATGACGATGAGGCAGACTGTCGTGTCTCTGGTGATGATGATGGTGATGATATTGATGAGAAGTAAGTCTCACGACTTGACCTGTACTATCGGCTCTCTGACTTCCCATGTTGTTGTTGCTGTTGTCTCCCGGTTGAAGTGGAACGCAGGTGGGAAACAGAGTGTCGACTAGTAGTAGTGATGGCACGTCAAAACCCATCGTCGCAAACCTTGTGACTCGAGAGCATCATGTTGTTCTAGAAACTCTCCCCTATGAAGTCTAGTTCAGTCATCCGTTCTTTGTCATATCGCTCCACGCAGAGGCTGGTCAGCGGCTGTGGTAGTTTGGACACTGCCAGCGATAGCAACCGCATTGCACGCGCTTAAAACCTGACAGGTAGGTAGGCTATCGACAACGAGTGCGTGATCTCTGAGCCGAGGTCCTAGCCTTACATCCGCGCGCTTCACATGCCGCGCGGTGGATGGAACATCGCCAGTTCGACACTGCTCTTCCGGATGGAGATAATGGATCATGACCCAAGTCATCAAAAAGAGGAGTGCCTTTGGGAAAGATAGTTCGTGTGTGAGGATTATGATCATGTTTCGGGGTGTCCGTGATGGATTAATCAACCCCGGCCGAGTGCCGTGATCTAAGAGGCTATCGGCTCAAGTACACGCCATTTGCACCAACCAGGAGCCGGCAGAGATCAGCACAGCCACCCGTCTCACTCGTGACAGCAACTCTGCGCAGCATCCCGGATATTCTGCCCTCCGGGGGGCTTCTACGTCTCTTGTAAGAGCAGAACCGGTCGAACCGTGCCAGATGCTATCGCGTGCAGCTAGTGATGGGGTCCGGGGGGCCTTGATCCGGCTCAAGAGTCGAAGGGCATGTCCGCATCCTGCCTTTCAACCCCATACTGCACCCCCGTCTGATTGGTGAGAATACCGCGAACCCGCAAGCCCAGCCCTATGGCAGGATGCAAGGTCCGGGCTGCCAGCACCGGCTACCCGCTAGTATCCGGGGCTTATGCCTGTATGGCAACGTTGAGTGACACCCCCTCCTACCAAACGGTCGGACCCCATCGACGTCAATGGCAGGGGAAGAAGGGTCAAGCCAGAATGAAGCTGCTGTTGTTGCTGCCCTAAAGTTAGAGCAGGCGCTTACTCCCCTCTAGCTCTCGCGCTGGCTCTCACCTTGCTCCTCCCTGCATCTGACGTTCTGCCTGCATGGCCGTCCCATCCTGCATCTGCATCTGAACCGAGCGAGCTCGCTTGGAAGGATTTCCGTTGTTGATACCTGGGCCACATATCTTGAGGGGGGCTCACTCAACTTACTTTGACGTATCCACAACCACACACAAACCACTGCCTCAACCCTTCCCCCCCCTGGCCGAGGCATCTACCTCATCGTGGCAGGTGTGGAGTTTGCTGTTATGAGCTTGCATCGACTATCTCCAAGCTCCCTCCCGCTTTGACCACAACCTTGTTCTGAGTTGTCTCCTGAATATATATTCTCCCCAAAAGCCCCCTTGACCCTCAGTCATGACACGCTTGCTGGTCAAGACCGCATCCAGGGTGATGCAAGCAAGTTGCCCATTGCGAATAGGTAGAGCGAAACCCGTCGACAACCCATCGTGTGCCTCTCCTGCTGCTGTCCTCCCACAAGATCAACATGTCCTCTTCCGATCCTCCCTCACCGACACCGGCTGCCAAGTCCTTTCGAGTCTGTCTGAACTGTCGGCGGAAGAAGAAGCGTTGCGACAAAGCTCTCCCGACGTGTGGCAGATGCGCATAGTAAGGGACCATTCCCCTTAAAAAATTGCGTTTGCGCTACGCTGACCTGTCTTGCATATCCAGCTCCAACGAACTATGTGTACATGAAGGCGACGGCTCTTCCGAAGAGCGCTCTCTCGATTTCGAGTCACTCACCATCCAGTCGATACAGCGACGCTCACCATACCCATCTGAGTCGGGCTATGAACTAGGGACGCCTCTGACCTCCTTCAACCCCCAGTCCTTCGCACCCCTAGCAGCCGGGGACGAGATACACACTTTCATCTTTCGTACCATGGTCGAGACCATTGGCAACCGGGCGAACATTGAGCAGGTGGTGACCAGTTACTTTGTAAACGTGAACACGTGGTATCTCGTCCTCGACCGGCCGGCCTTCGAGGTCCGGCTGCGGGAACTCTGGGCCAACCCGTCCGCCGACGTGTGCCTCGTGGTGCTGTGCATGTTCCTTGTCAACAAGCTGCCGCGGGACAGTCCCAGCGGGACCATGCGCGACGGACTCTATCTGTCGGTGAAATCAGCCCTGGCGCTTGTCGAGGCCCAAGTTACGCTCTCGATTTCCCTGCTGCAGTCTAGGCTCCTGATCGCGCTGTACGAGAACTCACACTCGATGACGCAGCAGGCGTTTGTCACGCTGGGCAGCTGCGTCCAGATGACGCGGGCATTTGGCTGGAACAGGCCCGGCTTCTGGAGCGAGGACCGGCAGAGGGAGCATCCCCAAGAACTGAAGGACTGCTGTCTCATCTGGTGGACCATGGTGGCTTTCGACTGGTCAGCAGTAGCTGGATGCCTTCTCGTCTGGACGACTTGCTAACTCTTTCTCCTGACAGCCAAAACGCGATTGCTTATCCGAGCATTAAGTATCCGTTGAGCACGGTGGAAGTTGATTTCCCCATTCCAGATCCGAGTGTCTTCAACAACCTCCTTTACCCAAGATCGGAGCTCAGCCTCCACACAGACCAATTTCTCGGCGAGATTCTCTATGAGGAATGCCCCCTGGCCAAGTCGGCAGGGTATGCCCAACAGGTCCTGCGAGGCAGGCTCCAGGCGGGCTCCCCCGCAAGGAGGCATCACGAGCTCTCAGACGCCATCACGGCACACGTGCTCAACATCATGTCTGGCCCCTGGGACACTGGGCACAGGTTCCTATCTGTGACTCTTGCCTTCATGTGAGCGGGTCCCTATCCCTATGCATACATGAACGGAATGGGCGGAGTTGGAAACTGACAAGAACACACACAGCTCCACCATGATGCTCCACGAGCCATATCTCCAAGCCGCTGCCCTGTCAAAGGATGGTCCGTACGCCCGATCGCTAGAAACCGTTGCTTCGATTGTCGACTCTGTCTACCACATCTCGCAGACCATGAACGCCAACGATGCTCTACAGGCACCGGAACCGCTCACTCCAGGGGGTGCCCTCTGCATATACTATGCTGCGCGATTACTGATCGTGCACGGAGGAGTGGTCCTCAATGGCACCGGAGTGCAGTGGATGGTAAAGGTGCAGAGCTTTAGAAGAAGTTTAGAGATCTTTAGAAGGAGGTGGTCAGTTGCAGGTAAGTTGATCATCTCGGAATCTGGCCCTGGGGATGAAGGATCTTTTGAGAGGCACACACAGCTGACATCGAAACAATAGATACTTATCTCCGACAACTTGACCAGGCGTTACACGAACGGGCAACTCAATCACGGATGCCGTAAGGGCAAGGGAAAAAAGCATCAGGTATGACTTTATGAATATCACCCCTGGATGGGTAGATTGTGCTTTGGGCGCAAGAGGCGAATCACTTGACAGGCGCGTTTCGGTTTCAATTTTTCCATTTTCTTTACTTATCTTTTCTCTTTATATCCGAGAATGCCTAGATGGCAGAGCTTTTCCCTTTCAATAACTTGTGTGTAATATGTAACCTCAACTGATTCCCAAAATCTCGTAGAGATGCAAAACGATCTCTCGAAGGCGGGCGCCCAGCAACGGGTTTGATCAATCTCTGCCAGGAGCGAAAACATTCGCGTCGTTGGAAAACGTGACTGCGAATGCCGATTTCACGCCCGAAGACGTGATATCTGGCAGGGGGCGGTGGTGCTGCGAGAGACACTCACTCGCCTTGCGAGCGAAAAAAGAAACGACAGCTACGCCCAACTGGGGTGGGAGCAAACAGAGAACAGCTTGGCCCAGCCAGCTGGTACCTACCTCGAGCACCAACAGACAACGCCATTCAATGTCTTCCGGATGGTATCATCCGAGGACTTCGACTTGCCGTCTGCTAATCTGTGTAGATTGGTGGCAGTTGGCGCGTCCAATACAGGCCCGATCCAAAAAGCCCATTGCCTGCAGAAAACAAGGCCGAGTGCATGATTTGATGTGACTAGAGAGGTCAATGCTGGTCGAGGCCGTGTCCCCGAGTAGTATTGGAAGAAGAGCTGGAAAAGGTATTCGGCCCGGAGGAATCTCGAAGTGAAGAAAAGAGGAAGGTTGTTTTGAGATTCACCGCGCCATGATATTTTTTTTTTCTTCCTTAGCGAGATCGCTAAATTCCCCTATCGCCTTATCGCTTATGTAATTAATTCTATTGCAACTGCCGCCTGCCAGATGGCTGTCGCAGCTGCCAACTCTGCTCGTAAAGAAGAAGAACTCTCTGGACTAGCGACCACAAGTTGCTTTCTGGCCAACCCGAACTAGGCAAGTGATGGGGTAACGCCAAACGCTTCCGACCGGGAGCATCCGACGCCCAGTCCAGCAATCTCCCTAGGTCCGGAGCTTTTGTCGGAATGGAGATGAAGAGCGCCACGTTCGGCAGAGTACCAGGGAAGTTTGTTTTGCTCGGGCTAGTTTTGACGGCTGCCAGACATGTCGGCAGCACACGTGCTGTTTGTTGGTCTCGGATCGAGGCAAAGAATGCGGAAGTCCCTGTTGGAGGATTCGGGAGCCAGGCCGGCCACAACGGACGAGTCTTCCCAGAGCAGTAATCTTCTCGAACGTCAGTATGCCTGGCCCCACCCAGGAGCGGACAGTGACCAGGGCAGGGATGGCTAAGTGAAACAACTGTTGAAGAGAAATAGCGGCCTAGAGTTGGCTCTCTTCGAGTCATTTTCTTTTTTCCCATTTCTGCGTGGGCACTTGCTCCTTGTCCGTCTCAATTGTCTATTTGTTGTGACGAGCGAAAATCTTCGAGTTGGAGAGGCTCCTTTTGCAATCAGTATTCGCATGTCCCAGCATCCCTGCCCTCCCTTGCTTCCCAACTTCACATCATGTCAGGTCAGGTCAGTACCTAGCATGCATGCGTTCACAGACCCATAGTGCGGTCCCTCTTCCAGAAGAGATGCGGGATGCAGAGTCTGACGTAAATAGCGGCCTGACAAGGTGGAGTAGCTTTCAACCACGAGGATTCCAGGAGCCAGTCTCAAGGGGAGATGGAGAAACGAACTCGGCCTCGAAGCATGTACGTACATACTTGTACATACACGGCCATAACCTCATACAGCACTACTTTGGTACTCGTCGACAACACCTTGCCGCAGCCCAACAAGGTTGTTCCCTCCATACTTGTACAGGCAGTGTCCGGCCGGGCCTGCATCGTGTGTGCTCGTCTCGGCCAGTCTTTGGCGCGCCCTGTCTCATCTGATCTTGGGCCGCACACGGAACGTTTACAAGCGGCCTGGGACTCGATTCGCTCAGACTCGCACTTTCGTAGATTGCATCTCGTATGCACGAGCTGCCAGGGCTGAGACCAAAGGGGTACCGAAAAAGACAGCTCAACGTCACACCACGGACGCGATCCGCTGCGTCCCGGACACTTGTCCTCGCTTTTTGAGCAAGTAATTTCGCATGGGATACAGTTGTCTAACTGCACTTCTTTGACTTCGGAAGTACTTTGCGCTTCCCCGGCACCCCGGTCCGTTTATGTTGACCAGAACTGGAGCCAAGGCACCTCGTTTCCGAGTGTCTACATTCATAGTGGGTGACTTGCCTGCCAGCCTCCATGTGCAGTGCAGTGTACCAAGGAAGGATCTGCCTTATCGCCCGCATCTCTCCGGACCGATTCTACTTGTGTTCTGTGTCGTCTCTCGCTTTGACCACTCTCCTCGGTAGCGGCAGCCATTCAACCGCGCAGCGCCATGGCAACCTATGAGAAGCAGGCGAGCAACTCGACAAAGTCTTCATCCGCTAAACGACCCTGGCCGTCCGGGCTGTAATACACTACACGCGGTACCTAGTTATCAACTCTAGTCCTCGAACATGACGAGCCCTCCGCGTTCGGGACTATGATTAGGCAGAATCCGCTCCCAGGGCCAGTGTACCTCCTTCTGCCAGCTCGCATCTTCCGTGCCGGGAGACCCAACCGTGGAACGTCACTCGGGGAGAGCATTGGATGAAGCCATCGAGTAACGACAAGGGAGAGAAATGGGATGTGTCAAAAGGAACCCAAGCAAGCACCCTGCGAGCCACCTCGAGAATAAGGCCCTGTCGTCCCCCCTTGCTGATGGCAACCTTGATCGCCAAGTCCAACTGCCGCAAGGGTCATTACCCAGTCCTGGCACCCCACTTACACCGGGCAGCCGTGGCCTACCGTGCCTACGTGCCTCCTCTCGTCTTGCCTTCCGGCCTGCACCTAATCAAATTGCCAGCGCATCGTCTCGATCTCGTCTCTCCTCCGGGCCCCCTTTCCTGCCTCTCTGGCGTGCTGATAACCTGCAATTCACCCGCTCCTTGCTCGGCTCTGTCCCGTAACTTGTCATGACCCTGTGGCGGGCCCGCTCCCGCGCGCGCGAGTTCTACGGTAGGTATGAATTATGTCATGCATCCGGTCGTCGACAAGGCTTCCCTCGCATCCTGGATCTGTCCGTTAATTTGATACCTTTTTCGGTCTCCACCGCTCTCCAGCTCACCGTGTTTCGTGCCCTCTTCCATCGCGCCTTCCTCCACCGTCTCCATGGGTGTTCCCTTAAAGCCAGTTGCCGTCCCGATCCGGTCATCAGCCAGTCTCAGCAACTCTTTTTTTTTTTTTTCCCTCTTTGCTGCCCGACCGGACAACACATCACGGTCCAACATGATTATATACATTCAGACGGCTAACCTCATAGAACTCCTCTCCTGTTCTCCTCATGACATGGTTTCATGATTATCGGCTCTCGCTTCTCGCTCCTCGCCTGCCCTCCTTCACCTCCAACCTCTCGTGTTGAACTTCGGCCGCCCAGAGAGGCTCAAGATGAGCTCTTCCTCGTCGCGCAAGTCGCGCATGAAAAGCGTCTCCAATGTCATGTACACCAATGCTGTGTACTTTCCAAACTATATGATATACAAGGGAGACACGCCCGGCCAGCTGAACTATGGCTGCATCAGTCTCGTCTATTACGCCTTTGCAAACATCGCAGCAGACGGGGCCATCTTTGTGAGTCTCGGCCTGCCCAAGCCGATGATACGGCTTAGACTTGACTTTCATTTTTCGCTAACGACTCTAAAGCTCAGCGACGAGTGGGCAGACGCTGGAGTGCCTTGCGATGGTGTACAAGGCGGCCTCGGCTCCTTGATGCACCTCAAGCAGAAACACCCGCACCTGCAGGTTGTCCTGTCTGTTGGCGGAGGTGCCACAGCAGAGTCGTTCCCAATCGTGGCGGCAAGCCCCGTTATGAGGGACAACTTTGCTCGATCGGCCCTTGGCCTGGTTGAGGCGTCGGGCCTTGATGGTGTTGATAGTGCGGCTCCCCATGCAACTCGCGCCGTTTTCTTCTGTACACTGACGCACGTCACCCAGTCAATTGGGAATATCCCTGCGACCCGCAGCAGGGCGCTGATTTCTTGGCGCTATTGGCTGCAGTCCGCATCCACCTGACCGAGGACCGCTACTTGCTCACCGCTGCTTTGCCGGCCGGGAAGGCGGTTCTGCAGAACGTCGACCTGAAGCGCGCCGCCGACTACCTGGACTTTGTCAACCTCATGGCCTACGACTTCTTCGGCCCGTGGACGCACAAGTGTGGGCACCAGGCTCAGCTGTATTCCACTGCCAAGGACGAGACGTCGGGGTCGTCTGGGGTCCAATACCTGATTTCGCACGGCTTCCCGGCAAAGAAGATATTACTAGGCATCTCCCTGTACGGGCGGAGCTTCCTGAACACGTCTGGTCCTGGTCACAAGTTCAAAGGCTCAGGCGGTGAGGACGGAGCGTTTGAGTATCGAGAGCTTCCTCGCCGGGGTGCCAAGGAGCAGGTCGACAAACGGGTCGTTGCGGCCCAGTGTGTCGGTGGAGATGGCGGCTTCGTGAGCTACGACAATCCGGACACAGTCAAGGTCAAGGCAGGTTTCTGTCGACAAAAGGGCCTAGGTGTAAGTCTTGGTCGACAACCCCTTTCGTCATTGATGTCAGTGAAATTGACCTTAACCTCTCCAAAGGGCATCTTCTACTGGACGGCGCCAGCAGACGCCAAAGACAGTAAGCGCAGCTTGATCGCTGCTGGATTTCGAGCATTGCACAGCTCGTGAGAGCTAGAGTGCAAACTGCTTCATCCTTGATCCTTGTTGGCGTTGGCCATTATTGGCCGGTAGTCAACCAACCATACGTTATTTGAAGGTACGAACAAAGAAGCGGTGACATCGACGAAGTCGATCAAGGCCTGCCTGAAACATGGACGACATCCGCTTTTTTTTTTCGTATTGCACAAAGTGCGAGAAAAAAGAACACGGGCCACGGACGGCAGCGCAAGAATTGTGACGGTCTGGGCCAGTACTGACCGTGTCTTGTTTCGGCACCTGCCTAAAGTACAGTAGGAGAGTCACATAGGTGACTCGGACACCCAGGAAGCGGATACGCCCAACTGGCGTGACATGGACTTTACAGAAATATGTCTGACGTTAATTTGATATGCTGTGGGGGTGGAGTTTGAGCCCCCGATGACATCTGAGGCATACAATGGGTGCTAAGACTGATTAGCGAGCCTCCTTTCTGACATGGCGTATGAAAATGCCCGCTCATTTGGGGCGGTTGATGTCAGAACGCGAGCAAGGCATGTCTCGCGGGTTGACCACTGCCGGACGGCATTACATCAGGTGGTCCATCTGCAAGGTCATTCCCAGCCGCCTGCACGTTGTGTATAGAAACCGAAAAGTCGTGTGATCGAATTAATCATTGGAAAGCATTTAGGATGGAATCGGTTCCGGATGTAGTCTCCCTCGGTACCTCATCAAATGGAGCAGCCAGAGAGGCGGCCACAGTTGATACGATTGAGGAAACACGAGCGGGAAGGACAGCCGAGCCGAGGCTGGGCAGCACTGGGTGTGTTATTATCCCCCAAGGAAAGGTTTCGTCCGATGTGATGTGCCAGCTCCGAAATCTGCTTGGAAGACGAGCGATCGGGACTAACCATGGGTGCCGAGGAACTGGTAGCCAAGATCGTCAAATGCATCAATGATCCATGAATCAATTCGATGTCGCATTGATTGTACATCCAACATTCGGGGAAATGTGATTCACGGGACCGGTCCAGGCTTCCGAGTCGCCTACCAGCTCTGGAGCCGCACCCCTGTAGCTGCTACAGCCCCCCAGACCTTAGGCGCCTCGACGGACCCTATTGGCTCGGCTGGTGCCGTCTGGGACACTGGCCAACTGGGCTTGCCGCGTCAACGTGGCTGTTACCACTCGAGCCACTGTACGTTAGCTTTGGCCTGCTCCCTGTGACAGAGACGACGTCCTGCAGCTTGCATAGCTCTCTCTACCAGTAACTACATACCTTGCCTACTTATGTACCACGACTACCTAAGTACTTACTTTCCTATCCTGGAAGCGACCTGTCGACAGAGCCACGGACCATGCCGACGACGACGTTGACACACACGTGATTGATCGCCCCCCACGGAACGTCCCTTCATGCGCCTCCTTCTTAGCTTGAACCACTGTGGCGCCCCGAGACCAATCTCCTGAACCACACCTCGGCTGGGTCGACCCCGACAACGGCCTTCCGCAAAAGAGTAACATTGGCTCTTCGCCTGGATTCTGATCCGGTGCTTGCCCGCTGCTTGACTGTGCATTGGGCACAGACTCCGTACGCAGCATGGACGGCACAGCAGTCGTTGGTTCGGCGGCTCTGGATGCAGGCAAGTCACATTCCGTTCCATCAGTTCACAAATGTGGGAGTCGTTTAAAGCTAACAACGGTGCTGGAAACAGCCGACTACGATCCGATCAACCATCTCAATGCCCTCTTCGCCCAGCCGTCTTCCGTGCAGGCCATTGCGCGCGTCTCCGACACCCTCCGCACCCACAATGACGGCCTCTCCGCCTCCATCACCGCCCTCGAGACCGCGCAGGCGTACGGGCCCGACTCGTCGCTCGAGCGCATGCAGTCGGCGCAGGCCGAGCTCGCCTCGCTCTTCCGCCGCATCGAGAGCGTGCGCTCCCGCGCCCTGCAGACGGAGCGCGACATCACCACCATGACGGCCGACATCAAGCGCCTCGACGGCACCAAGCGCAACCTCACGCTGTCCATGACGGCCCTCAAGCGCCTGCAGATGCTGACGACGGCCTACGAGCAGCTGCAGGGGCTGGCGCGCACCCGCCAGTACCGCGAGTGCGCGGGCCTCCTGCAGGCCGTCCTGCAGCTCATGCGCCACTTCAACAGCTACCGGTCCATCGAGCAGATCGCCGTCCTGAGCCGCGGCGTGTCCGAGCTGCAGCGCGAGCTCCTCGAGCAGGTCTGCGAGGACTTTGAGATGGCCTTTGCCAAGGGCGAGGTCGGCCTGCGGCGGCCCGTGCTGGTCGAGGCATGTCTCGTCATGGACGCCCTCGGTGATACGGCCCGCTCGAGGCTGGTGACCTGGTACGTCAACACGGAGCTGCGGGAGTACCGTCAAGTGTTTCGCGGCAATGACGAGGCCGGAAGCTTGGACAACATAGGCAGGAGGTACGCGTGGTTCAAGAGGATGCTCAAGACGCATGAGGAGGAGCATGCGGCCATCTTTCCCGCTCACTGGCGGGTCAACGAGATGCTGGCCATGGCGTTTTGCGACGGCACCAGGGAAGACTTCAAGGGGATCTTGGAGAGGAGCATGCGCAGGACGGATGGCGCGAAACTCGACGTCAACCTGCTGTTGAGCTGCTTACAGGAGACTATGGACTTTGAGCACGGCCTGGAGAAACGGTTCGCAAGCGAGCTTCCCAGAGCCAGTATCGACACGTTGAGCTCGGCCGACGAAAGAACGCAGAGCTTCCACGGTTCGATATCGGTCGCCTTTGAGCCCTACCTCAGCCTCTGGGTTGACGCTCAAGACAGGCAGCTGGCGGCTCTGATACCGAAGTACCGGAACCAATCTTTGATCGCCGAGGACGAGGAGTTTTCTCCCCAAGCAGTCATTCCCTCCGCCATTGAGCTATTCCACTTCTACAAGACCACGCTATCCCAGTGCGCCAAGCTCTCGACCGGTGATCGCCTCTTGGATCTCGCCAAGACGTTGGCCAGGTACCTTGACGAGTACGCGAACCAGGTTCTGGACGGCTTCCTCAAGAAGGGTGGCCATCATGGGCCTTCGATACAGGATACTATCATCGTGTTGAACACGGCAGACTTCTGGCACATAAACACTGAGCAGCTGGAAGAGAACATCAAGAAGCGGATCGATCCGGAGCTCGCCTCAAAAGTCGATCTGTCATCGCAGTCGGACAACTTTATGCGCGTCGCCATGTCGGCGGTGCTCTCGCTCGTGAACAAGGTCAAGATCGACTGTGAGGGAGCCTGGCGCGAGATGAAGAACACCAATTGGAGCAAGATGGAGAGCGTCAGCGACCATAGCTCTTACGTCGGCGAGCTTCTTAAGCACATCAACGAGAAAGTGGCAGAGATCCTCCCCCTGGTGGTCAAGCACCAGTACGCCAGGGCCTTTTGCGACAACCTCGTCGAGCAGATTGCGACGGCCTACATTGAGACTGTTGTCCTCTGCCGGCCCGTGTCAGAGGTTGCTGCTGAACAGGTACGTAGCGTTTCTGACTGTCTCTGTATCCGACCGGAAGCTAATGCGCGCAATAGATGCTTCTGGACAAGTACGTCCTCACCAAGGACTTTGAGAAGCTCCTCTCCCATCAAAACCCGCCCTCGTCCTCGTCACCCGACCCCAACGCAAAGGCGCCAGCCCCGCCTGCCGGCTTCGTCAAGCGGGTGAACCAGGCCATGGGCCGGATCGACCCGCTCCTCAAGACGCTCCAGGTCCGGCCGTCCCCGCCCGAGGGCCTGGTCCAGGCCTACCTCATCCACGTCGGGGACCGCTCGGACACCAACTTCAAGAAGGTCCTCGAGCTCAAGGGCGTCCGCAAGGCGGACCAGTCGCACCTCATGGAGCTCTTCGCCATCCACCGGGACGGCGCCTCGGGCCGCGACAAGCTCGTCCAGAACAGCCCGCTGCTCACGCCGCTCATGGCGGGAGGCGGCGCGGGCGGCGTCGCCGCGGGAGCGCTCGGCGGCGCCGGCTTCGTGGGCGCTGCCGCGGCCGGCGGGGCGCAGGC